CAAAATAGGTACATATACTGTACGTCTTAGTTGCAGCTCTCAATTACCTTAATTTCCTTAATTTCATGATTAAGGAAATTATGTTCAAGTAAACTATTTAGGCAGGCCCAAAGTTGAAAAAATTAGTTAAAAATTAAAACATATGGTTAAGATGTGTCAGTAAATGACTAGGTTTGCTATGACACTGGCCAAATTATAATCCCTATCATCCCCTTTGAATGCATTGGGCACTCTCTAAAATCACTAGAATCCTGTATTAGTGATAAGTATGTCAGACTTGCCTGACCACTGATCACAGTGCTAGTGCAATGGTTTTCAGGTGATGTCAGATGGCTCTAACGTGTATTATATTATCAGTATACAGTATATGAGCATATTGTCTCTATTAAGAACAGCTGACCACTTTATTTATGCCAGCCGTTTTAGGATATTTTAAGCTTTTACACTGGTACTGAGACTGACTAAAGGTAATCACCAGGCAGTTGGAATCAGTGGCAGAAGGCAAGACAGAAAAGAAGTCGGGAAGACCAGACAAAGGCCAATACCAGGTGTAATCATAGCCAAATGTCAAAGCCAGAGCAATCTATAAACACGTAGCCAAATATCACAGCTAAGGTCAGGACAGAAACTGACATCAATCCAAAACGCAAAGTGCCACACCCTATCACACACCGCTATCAAACCCTACAATGTATAACAAATTGCCCTTTAATAGAAAGATGGGCCAATTAATATTCATGCTGGTGTCTGCAGGCACATGGTCTTTCTTGGCCATGCTCATGCAAGTGGAAAGAAGCCTAAGTCAACAAAGATAATGCTATATTAGACTTACAAACTCTAAAAGGAAGTCTTCAGTGCAGAAAGACACAGCAGAGGAGCAACAGTACAAAAGAAGTGCACTTGGGGAATTCCGAGAGATGAAAACTGAACTGAATAAATGCTGGGAGAAATTCTGTTTGTGTTATCAAGCTACAAGCAATCGATTAGCTGCAATACTTCTTCAAAATTGTGTCCTAATTGACTGCTCAGACCTTAACAGCTTTTTTGGGGAAATCACCTTTTTGTAATAAAGTTTTCTTATGATACAGCTGAGACATCTGGTTGGCTTACAGAAGGTTTCATACAAGACAATAGGATCTAAGTTTCTACTGAAAACATCAGTAAAAAAGCTGTCTGAAATATTACCACTATTTGTTCCACAGCTGGAAAGCCCCATCCATAGTATTTGACTGCTCCGACAGTTGCCTTTCTGGTAGAAATTCCTTTTTACCTTCTACTAAAAACCTGCTCTGTTTCATAGGCTAATATACAGTATCTGATATATACTGTGCATTTGAAACTGTACATACTGTACATACACACCTACAGTATTAGTTAGGCATTATTTTATATTTTTATTGCAAAAAGCATTTCAAATGTATTGAATGGCTTTCTGGATATCATCGGCAAAGAAGGGTGGCAGCTATACTATGGCCACAGTCCCAATAATGCCAGTACTCTACATACTCTAAATACTAAAGGCCAGGGTTGAAAGGTAGTTCTAGTAAAATACAAACATTTGCAGATTGTAGACTGCTTGACGTATTACCATGAGTAATTGCAAACTACCAACTGATCCATTGGTTCTAAGCTTTTGCTGTCCCAGCAGAAAGGTAACATTAACAGATTATCTTCTACACTTGGGCAAGACAAGGGTGGATAAAAAGGACAAGGTTCTGCCTGGAATAAGACATCTTACTTAGTGTCTTGAGGCTGACAACAAATCCAATGACAGAATGGCAATGGGAGACCACATCAGAGGCCAAGAATACAACAGTGCATGAAAAAAGATTCTATGCTTCCTTATCCATACTGATCTCATTTCCAGTTTGGGTCACTTGCAAGCCTCATATTTCCATGTTACCATTTTTTTTCCAGAATAATAGCCAACAATACCAATTGTTGGCTAATACCATAACTATCTTACCAAAAAAAAGGAATTGAGGGCCAGTTCACAACAGAATGCAGTGCGGGAAATCTGCATTCCATATGCATTTCCTGCATCGTGTTCAAAATGCACTGCAGGTGTAATCTGTTGGCTCTGAGGAAGAGGTTGTATCCTCAAAACGCATTAGCCAGTTGGTCATCCAGGGTTCCATTTTATGGACTCAGATGTTGTTTGGATCATACATCTTGTTCAGTTTGACATGCCTGTGTTTTTATGTCTATTGTGAGTATGATACTTACTTTATTTCTTCAATAAATATTTTAAACGATAATGCACTAGGTCGATGCGACCTTCATTTGCATCAAGTGTATTTGGACCACCCCGGTCTGTTGAGGGCAGCAAGCAGTGACGAAGTCTGCGGTGATTGGCGGACGAAACGCGTCAACGTGATGACATCATTACGCTCGGCGTCTCCATAGGGCGCGGTGCCCACGAGGAAGAAAGAAGCGGTTTGCTTCAGCTCCACACTGGAAAGGCAGGAGACACTCTAATTATGATGAGGACATCATCTAAAGCAGCCCGCACATGACAACCCTGAATCATAGCCTACTTCCACCGCTGGCAAGTGTATACCCGTTAGGCTTAATTAGGCTTTAGTGTTATCAATATTTATGGGTTACATATTCTCACTTTTTTGGTAACCCTGTGCCTATTTACCTCAATTAGGGGGAATTTTTTGAACTCCTATTGGAGAAATATCTGTATACTACGACATATATGTGCTGTGGCATGCTTCTACAGTCTCAAATATATTTCCAAGGAACCGCATTTCTTTCCCACTATTGAGCAATTTTTGGAAACCCAGATCTGGGTCTATATATTCATATATACATAGACTATATCAATCAGTCTGGACTTTCCATATTGACTACCTGGCTGCCTACCCCCATATTCACTTTTTCATCCAGACCTGATCTTACTTCAAGTGAGGAGGAGTCCCCTTGATCTTCTGTATGGTAATATTCTTTAGATTTTTTTTTACCCCTATTTTAGCTTTATTCAGGTCTGCTGGTAGCTTCATATTTATGTCTCACATTTATATACCTTCAGAATCACTTACTACTGTGGATACATTTTCATTTGGGGTGGATATCCAGGAAGGCCATATATCCATCTTTACATGATGGTCAAGTTTATGAGAAGGTAATGGAATAACATATATACCTGTTATGGGGTTGTTTTGTTATTGCATATGGTCGGCATACATTTCCTATTATTTGTTCCCTCTACTATGATCTCCTTATTTTTTTTCTGGTTTTCCATTTACAGGAGGTCATTCTATTCAAGGTGGTGGTCACCAAAACAGTTTTTGAAGAATGCTCCCCTTATGCAGATATTATATGGAAAAATATGGAAATCCTTTGATCTAGTAGTTAGGAACTTTATTGCCTTATGTGGATTCCTGATTGCCAGATATTATCTCTGGAGACGCCGAATGTTTTTAATTCAGTGATTTTATAAAGATTTGTTTACCATGTCTCTGTCTAACCTCAATTACAATCCATGTGATCAAATAAAACTTGTTTGTTAAACATTTAAATTACATTACTCCGCTTGAATTTTCTAATAACCACTCTTTGTGAGCAGTGTTGCACTTGTCATGCTGCTATGTTTTATGTAAAGCTTTTGGGTTTATAAATCCACACTAATTAAGTGAGACGAGAGATATTTATATGACACATATTTACGTGTCATGTTAGGTGGCTACCCCCTTTCCTTTTCCAATACTATTATTATTAGAAGTACTTTATATAGTGCTGTCAATTTACGCAGCGCTTTGTATTATTGTATATTGTACATTCACATCAGTCCCTAACCCTCAAGGGGCGTACAATCTAAGGTCCCTAACTTACATTCATACATACATATACTAGGGCCAATTTAGACAGGAGCCAATTAACCTACCAGCATGTATTTGGAGTGTGGGAGGAAATTGGAGTACCCAGGGAAAACCCACGCAGGCACAAGGAGAAAATGCAAATTCCAGGCAGGTGGTGCCATGGTTGGTATTCAAACCAATGACCCTAGTACTGCCAAGCGGAAGTGCCAACCATTTGGCCAGATCTACATATGAAGAAGCAGTAAATACAATGAAACAGTAAATGTATTCATTGTATTTATTCAATGACAATTGCAGACTATCTGCAAGTTGCATTTTGAGAGCCACTCCTGCTGTGTAAAACAAAAAATACTGGCTGTCTATTTGATGTAGTAATAGCAGCCGGGAAACCATGGCAGGAGAATGGAGCCAGACTTAAGAGATGTGTCCTAATTACTTTTTTTTAATAACCAGTATATCCACTTAGCCCCCATTCACACCGATGCCACTTGTCACAAGTCGCACCCAATGATTGGCATTGAACTTATCTAACTGAAAAGTAGTTCCTGCAGTACTTTTGCCGATTTCGGGTGCAACTTGCATAGACATCTGTTCATGAAGTCACACAGATGTCGCATCTGAAGTCGCACTGACATCTGACTTTGAAATGGTGCGACTTCAAGTGAAGTTGCATGATTTCAAAGTCGTATTCAGTGTGAACCAAGGCTTAAAGTTAAGTAAATGTAACTGGGCAGCACTTTGCATTTGCAGATAGCAGAGATTTAGGTAGAAACTAAGTCACATAATGACTGTTTTGCTTGGTGTAGTCATGCAGACATTTGTTTTATTGATATATCTTTTAGTTGTACTGTGCATACGTTTATATTTCAGTAGTCCATATACAGTATTTAGACTCACACTGTTTATGTCTGCTATTTTCTTTTTGTCTATTTTGTGCTTTTTAAGTCTGATCTACCGTTGTGACATTTCAACAAGTATATCATCATCTGCATCTTTCCTATGCCACTGGCTTCTACTCTGCACACCCAGTTCTGTGGTTGCTCAAATAACTCCTTGCTATTGGCTAGCAGCTGTCAGCACTATGTATGTCAAAAATGAGGTTTAGGTTTGAATAACACTCAGTATTTTCCTCTCATCAGTTCATAAAGGAAGTGGCTTTACTCTTTTTACTTTTTCGAACATACAAAGATGAATCTTCAGTACAGGGTGTGCCAGGCTAAACACGTTCTACTTTTATTCTCAGGTAAGCAGTAGTAATATTTTTGTGATTTAAAAAAAAATGTATGTTGGCAGTTGGCAGTCCAAAGCTTGTAATGTAATTTTTATTTCTGAACCGATATCATTATCATCACCACCTCAATTGTTGTCATTATTTAGTACGGTTACTATAACTGATAATCAGGCAGATTGGCTAAAGTAGTTGAAAATTTTGAGTCAATACATTTTGTCAGTATTTACTTAAATAATTCAATCAAAAGCAAATTCTGGTTTACTTTCTTCATGTTCTTGATTGGATATTCATAATGTACAGGAATTTAATTTTCACATGAATGAAGAACTGAAATAAATAGTCACACAAATTATTAGGTGAAGATCCTCAAATTATTTAGTAAATCGCTTTCTTGTCTTACATTTTTGCACGTTTTGGATTGAACTAGTTAAAATACACATAGAGATCTTACCTTGTTATGAAGTGAAAGTAATGCTAAACACCTCAATAGTACCTCAATAGTACAATACAATATGCTCACGTTTTGTGTTTTTCCAAACATGCTGCAATATTCTCCAGCACACCATTCTAAACAAAATATATATATTTATATTTTATGACTTAACTCAGGGGTCCTCAAACTACGGCCCCTGGGCCACATGCGGCCCGCCGAGGACATTTATCCGGCGTGCCGGGCAGGGGCGTATCTGCCGCGAGGCAAGGTACTAGGGTTTGGCAGGTCGGGAGATCTCGGCAGGGCAGGAGGGAGGGATCAGCAATTCTAGAACAGGGGTTACTAAGAGATGGCAGTATGCTAGGTGGGGCTAGCAAGAGGATGGGGTGGGGAGGGGTGAGTGATAAGTTAAATAAGGGGTGTGGTCTTTTCGGGGCGCTGTCATGTGCGAGCCCCGAAAAGTTTCGGTGACAGAGCGGCTGGTGTAATTTGGAGGAGCTTAAGGGGCGGTGACGTGTGAGACGATCACAGGGGCTGCCAAGTGTCAGGGGGCTCCCTCTTCATCAATGCTGAGATTTACAGGAAACCGCCGCCGGAGCACACTGCATGTTTGTGTCAGGCTGGAATCACAGCGAAAAGTGCATGCATCCCAATCTACAGGCACATGTGACCCACAGGGGTCTACTTACCAACTTTTTCACTCGGGATTCACAGAACTTTCACCCATTCTCTCCCCCCTCTCCTCCCTCTCTCCACCCTCTCTCTCTCCTCCTCCCTCCTCCTCTCTCTCTCTCTCCCCTCCGCCCTCCTCTCACTCCCCCCTCCTCTCTCTCCCCTCTCCTCTCTCTCTCTCTCCTCTCTCTCCCCCCCCCCCTCCCCCTCCTCTCTTTCTCTCTCTCCCTCCCCCCTCCTCTTTCTCTCTCCCCCTCCTCTCTCTCCCCCTCCTCTCTCTCTATCCCCCCTCCTCTCTCTCTCCCCCCCTCTCTCTCTCTCTCTCTCTCTCTCTCTTCTCTCCCCTCCTTACCCCCCCCCTCTCTCTCTTTACATTGTACACAGATCTGACCCAACAAGGTGTCCTGCATTTACCGTATATTTCGCTCCATAAGACACACTTGGGGGGAAATGTCTGTGCGTCTTATGGAGCGCCGGCCCAGTATTCCCGCCACTGTTGTATGCAGGAGATGACCAGAGACTGCGGACATAGTACATGAGATGACCAGAGACTGCGGACATAGAACAGGAGATGACCAGAGACTGCGGACATAGTACAGGAGATGACCAGAAACTGCGGACATAATACAGGAGATGACCAGAGACTGCGGACATAGTACAGGAGATGACCAGCGACTGCGGACATAGTACAGGAGATGACCAGAGACTGCGGACATACTACAGGAGATGACCAGAGACTGCAGACATAGTACAAGAGATGGCCAGAGACTGCGGACACAGTACAGGGGATGACCAGAGACTGCGGACATAGTACAGGACATGACCAGAGACTGCGGACATAGTACAGGGGATGACCAGAGGTTGCGGACATAGTACAGAAGATGACCAGAGACTGCGGACATAGTACAGGACATGACCAGAGACTGCGGACATAGTACAGGACATGACCAGAGACTGCGGACATAGTACAGGAGATGACCAGAGACTGCGGACATAGTACAGGAGATGTCCAGAGACTGCAGACACAGTACAGGAGATGTCCAGAGACTGCAGACACAGTACAGGAGATGACCAGAGATTGCGGACACAGTACAGGAGATGACCAGAGACTGCGGACATAGAACAGGAGATGACCAGAGACTGCGGACACAGTGCAGGGGATGACCAGAGACTGCGGACACAGTACAGGAGATGATTAAAGACTGCGGACATAGTACAGGAGATGACCAGAGACTGCAGACATAGTACAGGAGATGACCAGAGGCTGCGGACATAGTACAGGAGATTACCAGAGGCTGCAGACATAGTACAGGAGATGACCAGAGACTGCGGACACAGTACAGGAGATGACCAGAGACTGCGGACACAGTACAGGGGATGACCAGAGGCTGCGCACATAGTACAGGAGATGACCAGAGACTGCGGACATAGAACAGGAGATGACCAGAGACTGCGGACACAGTACATGAGATGACCAGAGACTGCGGACATACAACGGCGGCGGGAATACTGGGCCGACTGCTCCATAAGACACACAGACATTTCCCCCCAAGTGTGTCTTATGGAGCGAAATATATGGTAAATGCAGACACCTTGTTGGGTCAGATCTGTGTACAATGTAAAGAGAGAGAGGGGGGGTAGGGAGGGGAGAGAGAGGAGGGGGGGATAGAGAGAGAGGAGGGGGGAGAGAGGAGGGGGGGGGGAAGGAGGGGGGGAGGGGGAGAGAGAGAGGAGGGGGGGGAGAGAGGAGAGGAGTCTGGGGGGGGGAGAGGAGGGGGGAAGGGGAGAGAGAGGAGGGGGGAGAGAGAGAAGAGGGGGAGAGAGAGAGAGGAGGGCGGGGGAGAAAGAGAGAGAGAGGAAGGGGGGAGAGAATGGGTGAAAGTTCTGTGAATCCCGAGTGAAAAAGTTGGTAAGTAGACCCCTGTGGGTCACATGTGCCTGTAGATTGGGATGCATGCACTTTTCGCTGTGATTCCAGCCTGACACAAACATGCAGTGTGCTCCGGCGGCGGTTTCCTGTAAATCTCAGCATTGATGAAGAGGGAGGCCCCTGGCACTAGGCAGCCCCTGTGATCGTCTCACACGTCACCGCCCCTTAAGCTCCTCCCAATTACACTGGCCGCTCTGTCACCGAAGCAGCGGCTCGCACATGAAAGCGCCCCAAAAAGACCACGCCCCTTATTTAACTTATCGCTCGCCCTCCCCACCCCATCCTCTTGCTAGTTTCGCCTACTGCCATCTCTTAGTAACCCCTGTTCTAGAATTGCTGATCCTGCCCTCCTGCCTCCTGCCCGAGCCCTGCCGAGATCTCCCGACCTGCCAAACCCTAGTCCCTTGCCTTGCGGCAGATACGCCCCTGCCCGGCGGGCCAGATAAATGTCCTTGGCGGGCCGCATGTGGCCCGTGGGCCGTAGTTTGAGGACCCCTGACCTAGAACCTGGCCCTTCCATTTCTGGCCCTTCTGTTGTGACACAAGGCTCCACACAGGGGGTACTTTATATTTTCAGGATAAATGACAATGGTCACAGTTAAGCTATCTATACAAAGCCCAAATCTCAGTCAATTCCCACTGAATTGGCCAAAATTTCGAGCTGTGGTTGGCCCACAACCCAACTCGACAATTGAAAAATCAATGGAACTGAGTGGAACCTGTCAGCCAAACAGTGATTACAGTAGTAATGGATTTTCAGACTTTCTCTGGTGCTATGACTGTGATTATAACAGCTGGTGCGCGGAAATAAAATGTGTATAGCTAGCCTTAAGCTGGCCTTACATGGGTTGAATTCTGAAAACATTTTCTTTAGAAAATCTTTTCCGACAATTTTTGTTTGAATTTTCGCACCATTAGTGGGCCTCAGCAACGGCCGATTTTCGAGCGACCATTGAATTTGAGCACTCAAGCATGTTGGAAAATTGAAAAATCAAAATGAATTTCTAATCAATGATGGAAGAAATGTACAAGAAATGTAATTGAAAAAGAAATGAGCACGAGCTATGACCTGGAAAGAAAAGAAAATTCTTGGCTAAGATATTCTTTTCTGTAGCAACATGAGGTGAAATTAAAGGCTTGGTTGGGCAAATTTCAAAATCAATGATGGCATGCATTATTGAATTACAAAATGCACAAAATTTCCGATTTTCTAAAGAAAAGTTGTTCATAATTTGACCCATGTATGGCCTGCATTAATCTGGATGATGTCAGGGACAAATACAGCAGAGATATACCCTGAGTAACTGGCACCCCAACAATACAACTTCTTATTCCTAAGGTGTATTGGTGTCAGCTACATGCAGACGATGTTGGACTTAAGATTTTTTTTTCCTTCAAAAATTAAAAAAGGTACTAATGGCTGTCCGTAAATATACTGCCTTGCTATATTAGTAATATAGTTGCTTACAGGGAATGTATAGCACACAGGATGTAGAAACTTCAAAGTTTATTTTTATGAACAACAGCAAATGATCTAATGTAACCATTCTGCTTTCCTGTACCATGAGATCTGGATGAGATCTTATCCTGACATACTGTAGGTGTCAAAAGATGGAAAACTGCTCGCTCAGATTCCTGATTCAATACGTTTTTTTTTAAATGGATGAACAGGTTATATATAGTAATTAAAGGATAAGTTCACATTTGGGAACATGTTACATGTTTCACCTGTTTTTAGGTGTTCCCAGTCCTGTTCCACTCGTTTTAACACGTTCCTGCTCTTGCAGCCTCTTCCCTGATCCCCCTCTCTCTTTGATAGCGGGTCGGAGATCTTCTCCCCCCACCCACTGTCACAATTTGAAAAGAGCATGGCCATGCAGGTCTCTGTCCACACAGCCGTGTCATTCATTCTCAGGGTTCTGTGAGTGAAAGAACTAAAAGCACCCACAGCCTTTGCGGTTGACAGCTTGCAGTTCTCAATGGGCTACCATGGAGCAGGGGTTGGTCTTCCAAAGCGGGCTCAGGAAAGACAAGGAACCCAAAAATTACTAAGCGGCCCTCAAGGGGGGGTAGTGCTACGTATGTTTCTGTTGAATGCCTAATCAGAATTGTTTGCTTGTACATGATTGGATGATTAAAGTGAGCCCAGCTTTTCTTTATTCATTATGCTATGTGAACATTCACTTTTTAATAATTTTGTAAAGTAAACAGTGTTTATTCCTTTAATAAACCGATCCTGATTTTTTAACAGTTTTGAAATTTGCTATTGATACTGTATGTGTGCATAAAAAAATAAAATAGCGTAGCACCCTCTAGTGATGATAGAGAGGTAAATTTAGTTTGGCTCACAGATGTAACTGCAGTGAGCATGTCTGTTCAAGCCTAGGTCAGGCTGGAGGGCTCTGCATGTCAGGCCTCTATCATCTCCCCCTGGTTCTGGAGGTCCATGGAAGCTTCTATAAACTAGTGGGCAGAGGGATGGAGACCGAGATCTGTATATTCATAGGATTCTGACTAATCCCAGGCAGATGGCCTGGCAGTCTGGTGAGACCTGCCCATAAATATGAGAGAGCCTAGCCAGCCAGATAGTGTGGTGATCAGGTGGAAGATGGAGTACTGAGGACCATGAGGCAGGGGAGGGAACCTGAAAAAGGGGGGGCTCTGTCTCCAGGCTAGAGCTCAGGAGGAAGGAGGGAAGGAGAAGAATCTAGAGAGAGGGAACATCCCCACAACTCTTATCCAGGAGTCACCTTGCCCAACGTGGGAAGACTAGCACAACTAAAAGGCCTGAACAAGCAGTATTGTCCAAAGTAGATGGATACAAGGTACAGAGTGAGTACCTCTATACCCCTGGGCCTATAAGGAAGTACATAAAGGAAGTTTGTCCTCAAACTGTTCTTTCTAGTCACGTTGGGCATCCCATAACCCTTAATCCCTATCTAAGTTGTTTTCCCCTGAATGAAACAACAAAAAACAAACCCATGGACTGGATTTTTGACAATGTGTGTTTGCAAAAAATGCACAATGCCTGACTGTTCAGCAACTCCTTAGGGGGTAGCGCTACAATAGTAGCACTTAACACTAGCTAAATATCGTGCAGTGTATATACATATAGGTATTGCCAGACTATTGTTTTAGCACAATCATGAAAAGTACTGATATCCAATAAGTGTACGAGATATTATTCATAGGCCTTGTGTCAAAGTGAGCCCTGGCATGTAAAGCAACAGCCCCCTTATTGTTGATGAGTAAACACTCTTAAACCTATTATATTTTTAAGTTCATGGAAATCGCGTGCGTCCCCTACTCGGAGATGCAAAATCAAGTATATATACATGATTTTGCATGCCCGTGCAGCCCTGTAGCAGTATTTCTACTATTGGGCGATCGGGAAGTGGTTAAGCAGTACCCTGAAAAATATATGTAAGTGTGCCTAGACACACTATATGAATGTGTTTTACATTGCATGGCCTATAGCCTGATAGTTGTATATCTAAAAAATTTGAAATCTAGGACACTATTGCTAGTCTCAGGATATTTGACATGAGATTTGGTGATATCAGTACTGTGCTACTTACCCTTCTTTTTGCTGGAGGCTCTGACATGAGGAAGGATAGCCTTGCCTCTGCAAAGATGGCTACCTTCAAACAGAAACTCAGTGTGTGAATTTGGCATGTTAAATTAGTAAAGGGCAAAAGGTCACCAGCAAAACTAACGACTAGGTCTTTGCCCTCTGCCTGCCTTTTTTAGCCACAGCTTTCAGAATTCAGTTCAGTAAAATCGAAGTGCTGACTGTGATCTATATATTATCATGGACAAAACAATGGTTATGGCATTAATGCAATACTATACCGTTTCTAAATGTCCTTAGTAATTTAGCATTACTATTGGAATAAAATATTTATTTAACATATCCATGGATTGGATAGGGGTTTGTTGGTGTCATTGACATTCTATACTCTTTTATTAGCGTGCAGTTTATAAAACAGAAAAACTCTTATTGTAAGTACAATGATGAAAGATTCTTAACTTTCTGAAGTTCACTTCTCTTTGTTTCAATCCTAGGGCTATTTTTAGGAGTATCACAAATCTTGCTGGTAGAAGGTTCGGTTACAGGTTCCTCAACACGCGCTGACCTAAAGAGTACACCTATAACAGTCACAAATAGTACATCTATACATGACTTCCAAAGTCAGAACACACCCACAGAAAAACCTACAGGTGAGCTGTATAAATTAGAATGTGTTTTAAGGATAATTTGCAAAAATAATATTGTCAATTCTTACACTTTCAGTTATTAATCCATGTATATGCTGGTATCACACAATACATACCCCCAGCTTTAGAACTTGAGAAAGAGGGACACCACAGGGAAACAAGGAGCTGCGGCACATGCAGCGCTCCTTGACAAAAAGTGGACATGGTTAATTATGCTGAATATTGGTTGTGGCTTAATAGAGCCTGAACATACTTGCATATACTCCACAGATGAATGCAACAGTCCTTATGCTCACAAAATACTCCCTAATTACAGCGGCATGAATGACAGTCTTAAAAACATGCATAAACCTCAGCACCAAGGATCATTTTTTATTAAAACTGAAACTCTTTCATTGCATATGCCTTTCTGTGCAAAGAATATAGACAGACAGCTAACACTTTGATCCTACCTTAATGAAGAACTTCATTAAATAGTGGGAGGCTACATAGCAAACATTAAAGCACAATTCCCCCATATAATTAGACTGACTATCTAAATACATTATATTAACTAAAACAACTAAATTTAGTAAAACGTACCTGCCTCCTTTTTTCTTGATCCCCCAGTCTCAGCTTTCTCTGTCCCCAGCTGCTCGGACACCTGCGCCTCCTTTTTTAAAATAAAACCCATTCCAGTACTGCATGTGTGCAAGATGAGGCGCATAACATCATTGGAGGGCCAGGTGATTGTAATGTTGTGCAGCGCATGCGCAGGAATAGGCATATGATATCATGTGCCTCAGCTTGCACATGTGCAGTATTAGATCGCACTAGTCTGCAAAAAAAGCATTGTTTTCTTCCAAAATCTTGTGAGATCTCACAGTTAGGACTCAATCTTTCCTTGGAGGGCACCGCTGATATAGCTTTCTTAGGGGGAATCTTCTAGGCCCTGACTATATCACCAATGCCTAAGTCACGTCATAGATGTAAAAACCTTTCTAATGATGATAAAAAAAAAGATAATGAAAGAAAATCCTCTCTTCTATCATCTGCATCAGTGGTGGAAAGAATTCCCTTCCCAAGAAACTGTTGATCTGTGGGAAGAAAATTCCCTCTTCCCCTTTTCAGGCATTGGTGGTCCATTGATAAATGCCCTCTCTCCCACTTCCAAGACACTGGCAGTCAGTGAGGACCCATAAATTGATGGTGCTATATAAATACCTCAGCAATGGACCCCCCCCCCCCCCATTGCATACCCTTCCTTCACTCACCCATTTATGGACCAGGAAGGAGCGTTGGTTGGTAATGGTGGATAGAGGAGAGGGAGCTGGGGGAAGAAAAGAAAACTTATGTTCACTCTCCTCCCCTTCATCAACCAGTATGGCTGGGGAAGAATCTGATGCTGTTAAATCTGTGTCTAAGTCCATCAAGTAGGCTGTGTCTGCTTGCACTACAGTAGGATCAGAAGACGTTACAGGGGTGTGACTGTCAGCATTGTCACCACTGATTAATAAACCTTTAGCACCTGGCTAAACATAGACCTGCCTACTGCTTCCTGGATTGACAGCACCAACTCTGTTTCTGGACCCCTCCCACATTGCACTGCAGTATCTAGGAGAAGGACCGTGAGAAGCGCAAGTAAAAGGGGATTTGGCTCAATCAGGGAAGGTAAAAGAGATTTCCCCATTTTTGGCTTGTGAATGGATTTGGGACTTGTTTAGGCTGTAATAAAGGAGTCTTTAGTTCTGCTTTAATATTCACCATTTTTTTTGATTCTTCTTTATGATAGAAGACCATTAGTTCAGTAGTAATTGTCATGCTAGGTAGTAGGGGCCCTTATGCTAGGGAACTATTTTGCTTTGTTGATGCCAGCCCATATACTGGAAGTATGATTATGGAAAACCATAATAACTGATGCCCCTGATTCTTATTCACAAATATCTACATGTCTTTTAAATTCATAATATCTGGGTCAGATTTAATTCATTTTGAGTGGACACAAAAAACACAACAGGACTAAAAATTAATAAAAAAATAATTATGTTATTTTTTACATTACTCAACACAGACCAAGCAACATCTGAAACTACAAATGGATCTGTGCTTCCAGTCTTTCACACAGTTAGTGAAGCACCTGACAGTAGTAAGTTTATTATTTATTTATTTATATAATAATAGTGACATACCCTCTGTTTTTTTGCCTTAGAAAATGTTAAATCAAATTTGGCATTATATTTGCTAATATAGTGCTAATCACTGCTTTTATAATACAATATATTGCCAAAAGTATTGAGATGCCTGCCTTTACACACATGAACTTTAATAGCATCCCTGAACTATAATGACATCCCTGTTTTAGTCCGTAGGGTTCAATATTGAGTTGGCCCACCCTTTGCAGCTATAACAGCTTTAACTCTTCTGGGAAGGCTGTCCATAAGGTTTAGGAGAGTGTCTATGGGAATGTTTGACCATTCTTCCAGAAGTGCATTTGTGAGGTCTGACTGATGTCAGATGAAAAGGCCTGGCTCGCAGTCTCTGCTCTAATTCATCCCAAAGGTGTTCTTTGGGTTGAGGTCAGTACTCTGTACAGGCCAGTCAAGTTCCTTCACCCCAAACTTTCTCATCCATGCCTCTATGGACCTTTGCTTTGTGCACTGGTGCACAGCCATGTTGGAACAGGAAGGGGCCAAAGTTCCCAGTTCCCAAGTTGGGAGCATGAAATTGTCCAAAATGTCCTGGTATGCTGATACCTTAAGAGTTCCCTTCACTGGAACTAAGGGGCGAAGCCCAACCCCTGAAAAACAACCACATCATAATCCCCATCCACCAAACTTTACACTTGGCACAATGCAGTCAGGCAAGTACCGTTCTCCTGGCAACTGCCTAACCCAGACATGTCCATCAGATTGCCAGACAGAGAAATATGATTCTTCACTCCAGAAAACACGTCTCCACTGCTCTATAGTCCAGGCGGTTTGCTTTACACCACTGCATCCGACACTTTGCATTGCACTTGGTGATGTAAGGCTTGGATGCAGCTGCTCAGCCATGGAAACCCATTCCATGAAGCTCTCTATGCACTGTTGTTGTGCTAATCTGAGGGCTACATGAAGTTTGGAGGTCGTTAGCTATTGACTCTGCATACAGAAGGTGACTTCTATGCACTGTGCGCTTCAGCATGTGCTGACTGCTCTGTCATTTTATGTGGCCTACCACTTCGTGGCTGAGTTGCTGTTGTTCCCAGTTGCTTCCACTTTGTTATAATACCACTAACAGTTTGGAATATTTAGTAGCAAGGAAATTTCACGTATGGACTTATTGCACAGGTGGCAACCTATCACAGTACCATGCTTGAATTCACTGAGCTCCTGAGAGCGACCCATTATTTCACTAATGTTTCTGGAAACAGTCTGCATGCCTAGGTGCTTGATTTTATACACCTTTGGCCAAGGAGGTGATTGGAACAACTAAACCCAATGATTTGGAGGGGTGTCCCAATACTTTTGGCAATATAATGTTTTTTAAGTACAGTATTAAAGTAGATGTAAACCACAGTAGACTGACATTTACTTTGCCCTGTGCATTATGCATCATTATTTTATTGAAAGCTGCAGATTTAAAAACATTGCAAATCAATTCTGAAACTACATCAACATGTTAAAGTTCATCTGAGATTATTGGGTTTGAGTTTACATATACTTTAATGCCAGACTGGATAAATAATATTGTATAATGAATTAATATCAGACCAAGAAAATGGACTGTAGTCTGTCTAGGAAATGTAAGCAACTGCAGACTCTGTTATTTTGGGGAAATAGCTTTTTACAAAGAGTAATATGAAGTAATGCAGTTCTAAATACTTTTAAATGCTATTCCCATATGAAATTTGCATTTTTAATACATTTCTATAATCTTTCTACTGTTGAATATATTACATTTAATGAAAAAATAAATGCACACATAAAATTACCGGTACTTCTTTTTTCTGATTTTTGAAAAAAAAAAATTCTTACAAATGTGTTTAATGGACAACTACTGATTTACTTCTAAAACTCAAAGTGCTCTCCTTCTCAGCCTCCTAAATTAGCCTAATCTAGAACCCCCTGCCCTTTACTTCTAACCTCTCTAGTGCAAGATACAGCTTCATTCACATCTGTGAGGAGTTACTGTGATGGAGCGGACAGTACTAGAGAAGATTTATAGAATAACTCCACAGGAGAACACCTATAGGTAACTCTAAGCAAGGATGGGGGTGATCAAGATTAGATTACTTTAGGAAGCTATTATTATACAAGATTTATATAGCGCCAACAGTTTGCTCAGCGCTTTACAATATAAAGGGAGACAATACCTCAACAATACAGTTCAATACTAGAGGGTTAGGAGGGCCCTGCTCCTTGGAGCTTACAATCTACTAGGAAGAGAGAGTCTAAAGTGTAGTCATCCTTTAAAATTTTCTTTGGCATAAACTGGTAGAATTACCGTGTGGTTTCAGTTGCACTTTTCAACCCCAAATCCTTTTATTTTACTATGTTTGCAGTCATATTCCATGGTTTTCCAGTCACGATTCCTGCCAGTAAGAGCATTATCTGTTGCAGGCCTACAATAATAAGCTGTTGCTAACTAGCGGCATCATAGTTAGCTTGTCATTTGTGCTGCTTCAGTTGGACAGGCTATAAAGTCTGCAGAAGGTATGCTCAGGTCTTATAGGTGGCCCAACAGCCCACTGAAGGAGCACACACTGCAGGCTAATAATTCTGCTGTTAATGGTGAGGCAGTGACTTAGTACTGTTAACCTGAAACAGGAAGTGCTGAAACTCACAGGACCTACAGGTAAGAAATTTTGCAACAGATTCACAAAAAAATTTATTTTGGATAGAATGAGGCATGATGCCAAACATACTGCAAAATTATTTATGGTTAATATACCTTTAATGATGTATTATAGGATTTAGAGCTACATTAACCGCTTCCCCGCTGTCCTATAGCAGATATACTGCTACAGGGTGGCAAGGGTGTGCAAAATCATGTATATATATATATATTTGATTTTGCATTTCCAGGTAGGGGGTTCGTGCAGTGATTAGCAGGGATCTCCAACGGGGAGGAGGGCTTCTTTGTTTACTAACAGTCCACCTTCCTGTCGGCTCGGACACACTGCTTTGGATGGCTGTGCACAGCACAGCCATCAAGAGAAATGTGCTTACAGTGAAGCACCAACACACCGCCCCCCAGTAAAACACTCCCAGCACACAGTTAACCCTTTAATCGCCCCTCATGTTAACCATTTCCTGCCCAGTGCCATTAGTACAGTGTCAGTGCTTTTTTTTAGCACTGATCACTGTATTGGTGTCACTGGGGATATCAGTGACACCAAATCAGTTCCCCCCAGTGTCAGAGTGCCCGCTGCATCCTGCAGTCCTGCTATAAGTTGCTGATCGCTGTTGCTGAAAAAAAAAAAAATTAAAATTCCAGTATATATACCCCCATTTGTAAACACTATAACTTTCTTGTAAACCAATTAATTTACACGTATTGGAATTTTTTTTAGCAAAGGCATTTTTTACTGGACATGTTTAATAGCAAAAAGTCAAAAATATATATTTTTTCTCAAAATTGTCAATCTTTTTTTTTTTATAGTGCAAAAAATAAAAAACGCACATGCGATCAAATATCACCGAAAGAAAGCTAAATTTCATTTGGGTGCAGCATTGCATGACCGCACAATTGTCAGTTAAAGTAGCGCAGTGCCGTAACGCAAAAAATGGCCTGGTCAGGAAGGGGGGTAAATCCTCAGGAGGGCAAGTGGTTAATTTGTGCCTTTTATTTCTGCCTGAAATTCAGTTTAGGTCTCATTCAGACAGGTGATTAGTCCCGTCCTCCACACAGAGAGAGCTGCTTGCAGATGCGTGTGCATCCACCCCAGACTTGCATGTAGGCAGTCCATAGAAGTGGTGTGGCAGGCGCAGCACCCTTTGGTGCCTAGTGCGCTGTGGCATTAGAAAAATTATGCAATTGCTGTTTCTTTGTTTGATTAGACTGACTTTACTCTGTAATTCCTCCAATGCCGCTCTATGGATGCAGTAGGTTTAAAGAGCACACCGAATACTTTAGTTAACTTCTTTAATAACTTCAATCTTCTTCATATAACTGCTTACAATGGCTTATTTCTTTCATATTACAATGGTTTAACTTGTATTACATTGGGTTGATTCGATAGATTGATAAATTCACTTAGATTTATAAATTCGATATATTCGATAAGTTTGTTTGATTCGGTAAATTCGATTTGCTATATTCGATTCGGTGGAACTACAAGTAAAACACACACAACAGTTTCAAAACACAGATCCACCTGCACTGTTAAACAATAGAGGAACACACAAGTGCATTAAATACCTATTTGGCCTTCTCTGCCTCCATAAAGCTCTTCTGATTGGAACTGTCTGTTTCCTCTTCTGTCTGGTGAGCATGTGTCTCTAGAAAATCCTAGCAGGGAGTTTTACACAGGCATAAATGTGAAACTGGCTGGGATTGGTTAAGGCTCTGTACAGTGTGAGGCTGTCTGTGATTGGCTCAACTCTATACTAACTCTTAAAGGCATATTTTCCTTTTCTGCTTCTGCTAACACAATGAATATATAAATGTCATATAACAATCAAAGACATAAATTACAGCAATGATTCTGCTTTTGGTTTTAACATGTGCACATATATACTGTACTGAGGTTATTGGCAGGTTTGGTATACACATATATGTGAACCATATTAGCAACCTAGGACTGGTCTTAGCTGGCCAGCTACAAGTGGATCCACACGCAGACAATGACGCACTGACATGCGCAAAGGAGTGGGTGCATGGACCCAAATGCACAGTATGTGCAGATCTGTGCACTTGCTTCTGCCCATATGTCAAACTTTTCACAGAGGACTGGACAATTCACCTGTCTGAATGAGCCCTAAAAGCTGAGAAGTGGGAACACAAACAATTAAACATCTATATATCTCATCATAACATTCAACAGGTGAACCTGCATTGCATACTAGCACATTATGAAGGACTTACCTTGAAACAAAGTCCTCCAGCGGAACGCTGTCACGGCTCCCCGGGGCTTTCATCTTCAACCGGTCTTCCTTCTGGGTTCGCAAGCTCTGGCCGGCTGACTGGCCGAGCCACAATGATGTCACTCCCACGCATGCATGCTGGAGTCCCGGGTTACGGCACAGTGCTCTGAAGGAAGAGCACTGGTATCCTGTGCCTTCAGAGCACATGCGCCGGCTATCAGAAAGGGTTGATATCTCTTAATCGGTTCACATTTAGGAAATATTGATTTTACCTACATGTAGGCTTTACTATAAACTTACCAGTAGGTAACATTATTCAAGAAGAGTTTACTACCACTTTAAATACAGATATTGCAGGATACATCTTTATCATACCTCGCACTCAGATCCAGGGGCATGCCTAGGGTTGGTGTCAACCAGTGCGATAATACTTGGTGACACCCCCTCCGACGATCCCTGAATAATGGATCAGATATGCGAATTGAGCATAATGGATTGGAGTCCGAAAGCCGACGATTCCTGCAGGATGGATTGGATCCATCCTGCAGGGATCGTCGGCTTGCTTTACAACTTACCTTTTCGTGCAGCGGGTCCGGTGTCACCCCGTGCGGTCGGTGTCACCCGGTGCGGGCCGCACCCCCCCCTCGCACCTGCCTTGGGACGCCACTGCTCAGATCACCAATAATCCTGTAATATGTTCTTAACTAAAAATGTTCCTTCTATTGCTCTCAGCCTTCCCCAGATCTCTGAATTCCTTTTTTTATGCTGCTACTGTGATTCAGCTTCCTGTTATAGGATGGCTTTGTTTTTTCAGCATGGTCCCACTGTATGTAGGAATGTAGCTCCTGAGATTGACTATGGACTATGGAGTGCACAGTGTGCATAGAGAAGTGCACATGACCTAACATGAACTAACATGCACTGCTTGTTCCACATAAACAGAGCCAATCAATGTTTATGGGTTATTTTTGGAGAATACGGATATTGTTTAGTGCCACCTTGATTGGTCAGAGCCGCTACGTACTCATTTTGTTTCTCTACTAGACAGTTCCTCTAGCAACATGCTATACAGACAATCATTGCTGGCTGAATTCAATGCAGATTCAGCTACTTACAGTATATTAGTTGCACTAAAGCAAATTTTGCATCCAAAAGAAGCTTTTTCATATAGAAGAAAAAATGAATGAATCAGGTGTTAAAATAACATAGAAATATGTCTCACCTAAATGATTCTTAAACAGACCCAAAATGTATAGTGTACAGTATAGAATGTGTTACTATCACCAGTGCTTGCAATGGTATTTGTTTTTAGCATGCAGTACTTGTTAATGCGACATCATGCATCCAGACTGATGTTAAATTATGAAATACAAGTTTTTGATATTTTCATTTTTTATAGACATTTCAGAAACTACTTCAGATGAACTCTTCCCCATCAATTCAACTACAAAAGGGGCGACAACTCCAAGACGTATGTAAAATTCTTGGTTCATACTGTAAGGGCTCATTCACACTTGCAACCAGGGGCAGAAAAATAAAAGGCCAGTGTGTAGGTGGGAGTGAGGCTGGGTGGTAGGCACCCAAGAGGGAATGAACGACACACAGGTCCGATATTACAAGGAAGTGTATTGACAAGAACATTCCAACCACACTGTAACATATTTTAAGTGGAGGCTTCAAACTGACAGAAACACTCACAGATGACGATGCAGTACTTGTGGAGAGCAATGCTCAAGGACCAACAGCACCAGATACAGAAAGAAGCTAGCAGGCAGTGTGCAACAAGGTACTAGAAGCGGAAAGGTTCCATGCATTGATACTGTCCCTCCTCCTCTAGAACCTTTCCCTATGCTTTGCACACTCTCCTTATCCAGTGGCTTCCCATCCCTATCCTAACCACATGCAAAATGTGCGCCAACTGCAGTGAGCCAGTGCTTTTTATAAAACACTGCCCTCACTAAAGATGGTCACCGAGGTAATCTAGAGCAGCAGTGTCCAGTTGGACAGCTGCTCACCTGATGACACACATGGAGGCCTAAGAGGCACAGGAGTTCCTTCGGTCCTCCACTCTCACTGAATGGTTGTTGCGGACAGCGCAACCTGTGAAGGAGGTCAACTTACAACTGCCTACAAGTGAGCCACGGTTTTCCACCACCTCTATACCAAATACAGTGGCTAGAGGGGGGTTATACACATGGCATGACTGCAACAAAAATGTATCCCCTGTTGCATTTGGTGGGCAGTAGCCCTGCTGAATGTGAAACATATAAGTGAATAAGGCCCTGCCACAACCCATTGCACTGCATAGCACATGGCATGGTGGTGCAGGCTTTTAAACATTAAAACAGGAACTGAAGAGACAACATATTCCCTCCCAACCATATATTAACTGCCCCTTGTAAAAATCACTTTTCAGCAAGAGGCAACAGGGGCTGCTGTTAATGTAAAATTGTTTTAACTTTTTTGCACACAGTGTTAGGCCTGGCTTATTCTATCGTAACCAGATCTCCGCAACTCCATCAGAACCAAGACAGTTTGTGGATCTTCTTGCCATTACCAGACTTGGCTTTTAGAGTGCCTTCATATGCAGTGTGCACTAGAGTATTATATGCGCCATAGAAATACATTTTAAAACATGAGGCTGGTAACCATAAGCAGCTAGACTCAGCCCTGACCATTTCATTGTCAGCTGTGGATGGAGATTAAGTCATGCACCCTTCCAGCCAAAATAAATAAATTAGATTTGAGTAGTGTGGCTCTTTAAGGATTAGTTACCAACATAATAGGATTCATCATGGTGTTTGACACACACATACTGCTATTTAGTAGTGCAGTCTACTTTGCTGGAATTGGTGACAGCAGTGACTTTCGTACATTAAATATACTGGAGTCTATGGTTCAAAGGGTAGCTCCACTTTTGTGGGAAAAAATGAGAAAATTAAAAAAACGAATATAGCATATACAATTGTAACACAAGTCATATTGTAATTGAAAGTAAATAAAAGTTACCTTTCCTTTTCAATCTGCAACACTGTAATCTATTAAAATGCAATACAATATGGCACCTGGAGGCATTCCGTACACAGATGGTGTACAGAACACCCCCCAGAAATGTCATTTCCTGCTTGTGTGAATGGCTCACTGATTCTCCCAGAAGTCTGAACTAAGTTACAAGTCAGATTTTGAGCATCCCCTGTGACTAAAATGTCACTTTTGTTGAGATAATCCCAAATGAAAATCACATCTAAAGAGATGCAGACCCTGCAACTTTCCTCATTAGAGCCCTGCAGGTGCAGCAGCTGATTAATAATGATGAAACCACTCCCATTAGATTCACTCTGCACATGAACACAGACAGACAAACAGCTAATTTGTCAGAATAACAAAAGGTAGGAATCTGCAACAAAGTTATTATTATTATTTATTATTATTATTATTATTATTATACAGTATTTATAAAGCGCCAATAGTTCACTCAGCGCTGTACATTACAAAGGGGCACAGAACATGTGACAGAACAATACCAATACAATGCAAAACATGAGGGGATTGAGGGCCCTGCTCTTTCGAGCTTACAATGTAGGAGGGAGGGGATGGTGGCACAGGAGGAGATAGCTGTGGGGGATGCAGTGGTAGGAGGAGTGGAGGAGGTTGGCAAGTTAGCAGGGGGTGGGGTAGGCTTCCCTGAAGATATGGGTTTTCAAGGTGCACCTAAAGGAGAGGAGAGTAGGTGATAATCTGATGGGTTGGGGCAGGGAGTTCCAGAGGATGGGTGACATCCTGGAGAAGTCCTGGAGGCGGGCATGGGAGGAGGAGACCAGGGAACTAGAGAGAAGAAGGTCTTGTGAGGAGCGGAGTGTGCGTGCTGGGCGGTACTTGGATATTAGGTCAGTGATGTAGTTCGGGGCAGTATGGTGGACAGCTTTGTACGTCAGTGTTAGGATTTTGAATTTGATTTGTTGCGCAATCGGAAAGCCAGTGGAGGGATTGGCAGAGGGGGGGGGGGGTGGCGGAGACGGAGTGGTTGGAAAGGTGAAAGTTTGTAAAATCCTTGCAGATCACCCAGAGGGGAATGTTTTTTGTCAGCAAAAGTGGAGTTACTCTTTAACCATTCTTCCACCCTCAAAAATAGAAAACATAACTTATGTATAACTGTTTACCCAACATATATACAAACTCCTGAACAAACTGTTTTTTTTTCATTTCGGATTCTATTTAGAACATACAGAAACTACAGGTAAGCCTTTTTCTCTCATTTTACTTTAATGTACTGTAGTCATTTTGTGATGTGACAGAGATGCAAGGAACTCGCACTCCCTGTTCACGTGGCATACTTCTGTACCAGCGTAGTGCAGAGGTGGTGGAGGAGTGAACAGGGAGCACTTGTTCTCTGCATCTCTAGGTGGCTGCCATGAAAATTGCATGTGCAGTTTATTAGGCCAGTGTTTGCGTTTGCTAAATGAGGCACCCCAGTCCCGAAAATTTATTTATTGGGCTAAAGGACCCTGTCGCCTGCATGGAATGATGAGTCCCCCTTTTTCACATCAGAGTTTCCCTATTAGATAAGAACCATCTCCCTTCACATCTTAACCCCCCCCCCCAATACATCAGAGCCTCCCATTACACCAGAATGCCCCCATCATTACAGAGTCCTCCATCACATCAGAGACATGACCATCACATCAGAGTTCCCCCTTTCATATTAGAGATCCCTTTCACATTGGAGTTCCTCATCACATCAGAGTCCCTCCCTCAACATTAGAGTTCCCCATTCACATTAGACCCCTACCTGTAACATCAGAGTCAGCCTCTATCACATCAGTCAGCTCCCCTCTTCACAAGGTCCTCAGTCCCACTTACACAAATAAGGTCCTACCTTCAAATCTTGATCTAGGACATGCATTCAAAAGAGGATGGAATTCTTGCATCTGTCCAGACCTGTTTCATCTCCTACCCTCTGTCATGATGCAGCAGAGGGAAAGACAAGGAACAGGTCTGACTAAATGCAGGATATTTATCCTCTTCTGAATGCCTGCCCTGGATTATGGACACCCGTTTCCATGGCGTGGGTGACCCAGCCTCTAGCAACATATCAACGATTGATGCTGTGCCATCTTGGTCTCCCCCCCTGCACCAGGGCTGTAGATAATTCTTTTTTCTGAGGGGGGTCAGCTCGCAGCTGAGCAGCATTTTTACCCACACACACATACACACACACACACCAACTTCTCCCCCTTGAAGGAAGGGAGGGGTGGATGGAAGGAAGGGGTGGGTGGAGGAAAGGAAGGGTAGGTGGAAGGAAGGGAGGGATGGATGGGTGGAAGGAAGGGGTGGATGGAAGGAAGGAGGGGGTGGAAGGAAGGAAGGGGCGGATGGAAGGAAAGAAGGAAGGGGTGGATGGAAGGAAGGGGTGGGTGGGTGGAAGGAAAGAAGGAAGGAAAGAAGGAAGGAAGGAAGGGGTGGGTGGAAGGAAGGGGTGGAAGGAAGGGGAGGAAGGAAGGGAGGAAGGAAAGGAGGAAGGAAGGGAGGAAGGAAGGAAAGGAAGGAAGGAAGGAAGGAAGGAAGGAAGGAAGGAAGGGAGGGGTGGGTGAAAGGAAGGGGTGGATGGAAGTAAGGAAGAAAGGGGTAGATGGAAGGAAAGAAGGGGTGGGTGGATGGAAGGGAAGGGTGGGTGGAAGGAAGGAATGGAGGGGTGGGTGGAAGGAAGGAAGGGGAGGGAGGGAGGGGTGGGAAGGAAGGGAGGGAGGGAGGGAGTGGGAGGGGAAGGGAGAGGGGGAGTGGAGGGAGGGAGGGAAGGGGGGATGGGAAGGGAGAGGTGGGTGAAAGGAAGGAAGGAAGGGGTGGATGGAAGGAAGGGGTGGGAGGAAGGAAGGAAGGAAGGGGTGGAGGAAGGAAGGAAGGAAGGAAGGAAGGAAGGAAGGAAGGAAGGAAGGAAGGAAGGAAGGAAGGAAGGAAGGAAGGAAGGAAGAGAGGGTGTGGAACTCAAAACTCTCTGTAACTACACTGGAACACAGACCAGAAGCTAACCATAGAATAACTTATCAACAGGCCCACTAGCAGGCTGAGCTTCTTAGAAACTTGTGCTGTCTGTTCCTAGCCAGTTCGGGGAAAATTTGGGGAGTCTGATGGCAGTCCATGCACAAACTTCGGATCGGAGGTCTGAATCTACTTGTAGTGAGTTTAGGGAGAAAAGTACAGCATGTCTATTGTTCTCCACAGTTGCCTGTCTATAGTTATTCATGTTGTGTAAACCCATTCTGCTTTAGTAGCACTCAAAGGAGAACCATTATGCATACTAAATGATGTGTAGTTATGCAGTGCTGTGCCATCATCATGTGTAATAATAATACATAAAGCTGATCTTTTCTCAGAAAGAGAATATTAATGTCCTAAGTGGACTAACTAGTAAGGATATCTGCCTTTTGCCTTTAATTTTTCATGAGATTTTGCAGTGTATTTCCTGATATTTGCAGGAGGCAATCCTTTTTCTGTATAGCCCACCCACTTTTGCTTATGGTGATTGCTATTGGAGTGTAATCCTATGTGACTGTTGGTGTTTCGTCTACACTTCTTCTCATTGTTGACATGCTGGAGGGGAAGCTGTACCTTAGGACCTGCATATTCCTGCTCCTGTGTAGCCTGCTCTGTGTATATGTGCCTTTTGCATTTCTCCTACTGACTATTTATGCCTCATTTTTAATGTTGGATCTGTGACTCCTTTACTTCTGCTTCCTATTGATCTCTCCGTTAAGTTGGCTATAGATGGATCATGTTTTTTACAGCGAGGAACAGAAGTATTTGAACACCCTGCGATTTTGCAAGTTCTCCCACTTAGAAATCATGGAGGGGTCTGAAATTCACATTGTAGGTGCATTCCCACTCTGAGAGACAGAATAAAAAAAAAATTCAGGAAATCACATTGTATGATTTTTAAAGAATGTATTTGTCTTGCACTGCTGAACATAAGTATTTGAACACCTAAGAAACAGCAAGAATTCTGGCTCTCAAAGACCTGTTACCGTGCCTTTAAAAAGTCCACCTCTACTCCACTCATTAATCTAACTTAGTAGCACCTGTCTGAGTGCTTTAAAAAGCCCACATCACAGTCAGTCAGTCAGACATCAACTACTACCATGGGCAAGACCAAAGAGCTGTCAAAAGACACCAGAGACAAACTTGTGGACCTCCACAAGGCTGGAAAGGGCTACAGAGCAATTGCCAAGCAGCTTGGTGAAAATAGATCAACTGTTGGAGCAATTGTTAGAAAATGGAAGAGGCTAAAGATGACTGTCAGTCTCCCTCGGACTGGGGCTCCATGCAAGATCTCACCTTGTGGGGTATGCTGATGATAAGAAAGGTGAGGAATCAGCCCAGAACTACAAGGGAGGAGCTGGTCAATGACATGAAGAGAGCTGGGACCACAGTTTCAAAGGTCACTGTCGGTAGAACACTACACCGTCATGGTTTCAAATCATGCATTGCACAGAAGGTTCCCCTGCTCAAGTCATCACATGTCCAGGCCCGTCTGAAGTTTGCCAATGACCATCTGGATGATACAGAGGAGGAATGGGAGAAAGTCATGTGGTCAGATGAGACCAAAGTAGAACTTTTTGGTCTAAACTTCACTCGTCGTGTTTGGAGGAAAAAGAAGGATGAGTTGCATCTCAAGAACACCATCCCTACTGTGAAGCATGGGGGTGGTAACATCATGCTTTTGGGGGTGCTTTTCTGCAAAGGGTACAGGACGACTGCACTGTATTAAGGAGAGGATGAATGGGGCCATTTATTATGAGATTTTGAGCAACAACCTCCTTCCCTCAGTCAGAGCATTGAAGATGGGTCGTGGCTGGGTCTTCCAACATGACAACGACCCGAAGCACACAGCCAGGATAACCAAGGAGTAGCTCCGTAAGAAGCATATCAAGGTTCTGGAGTGGCCTAGCCAGTCTCCAGACCTAAATCCAATAGAACATCTTTGGAGGGAGCTGAAACTCCGTGTTGCTCAGTGACAGCCCCTAAACCTGACAGATCTAGAGGAGATCTGTGTGGAGGAGTGGGCCAAAATCCCTGTTGCAGTGTGTGCAAACCTGGCCAAGAACTACAGAAAACGTTTGACCTCTGTAATTGTGCAAACAAAGGCTTCTGTACCAAATATTAACACTGATTTTCTCAGGTGTTCAAATACTTCTGTTCAGCAGTGCAAGACAAATACATTCTTTAAAAATCATACAATGTGATTTCCTGAATTTTTTTTTTAATTCTGTCTCTCAGAGTAGGAATGCACCTACACTGTGAATTTCAGACCCCTCCATGATTTCTAAGTGGGAGAACTTGCACAATCACAGGGTGTTCAAATACTTCTGTTCCTCACTGTATATTCAGCCAGCGAGCTGAACGAAAAATAGTGAACAGATTCCTCCATCCATACAAGCAAAGTGGATAGAGGAATCCTCCTTGCTGAGACATTGTATTCTGACAGTGGGGACTCTCAGCTGTCAGAACATACTGATCAGCAGCTGCATCCCATTGGCTGCAGACAGTGATCGAGAATTATTCCATTAAGACGGTCCATGACAAAATTTTGATCCATCTATGGTCAGCTTTATTCAGTCAGCAGCTCACCATTTATCAGTTCATTAGATCCACCAATCAGGCTGGCCCCAAGGTTATGAGAATAGTTATGCAATATCGGTCTGCTTTAACATGTCAGCTTTCAACCTGTGTTATTGCAGCTCGGACTGTCAGATCCAATGTGCTTTACAAAGGACTGGAAAATATATTAGTGCTAGAAAGAGAAGCAAAGGATTATACAATAAATAGAAATTTTTCATAGCAAACATTTACCATTTATGTCAATAATACTTTTACTAAATGTATTTTTTCTTCAAGGCATTCTCATTGGCTGCTTGGTGTGTTTGTTCTTCGTTATCATCGTCAGCTGTTTAGCATTCCATTTAAGAAATAAGAGAGTAAGTATTTAAAATCATGAAATAATAATCACAGCCTATCATATACACATGGTTAAAATAATTCCAGTATTAGCCCCCCCAAAAAGGTACCTATGTATGCTGTCCAAACCATCAAAACTGGCTCTTCAGGTAGCAGTTTCTGCAGTCTTAATGCTCCATGACCATCAAACTTCCCAGCCTTTCTCACAGCATAAGCGTGGCAAAAAAATATTTATGATGTACATTGTGCTTTTGCTCATTACCCGCAGCTTCTGACCTTAGTTAAGTTTT